GTTCCAAACAGACCCTTAGTTTCCAATAATATTTGAAAAAAGTCTTCCTTTTTCAAAATTAGAGAAGACATAAACACGATATAAAAATAATTGAGCCATAGGGAAAATATCTTGTGATGGTAGAGGGATTATGGAGATTTTGAAGTTAACAACAAATGTTAGGAAATGACGAGCTAATGATGATGGGCATTCGATAATGACTAATGGTCGTATAGCAAATTCTCTTATAATATTTTAAAGTGCTCTGAAAAAAGATCGACGAACAATACCTTCAAGAAATTAAGCTCCACAGCTAGAACACGAAGGCTTGAAAAATTAACCTCATAAGTTCAGTGAAACATAAATTGAAGAAACAAATGGAGGAACAAACGAAGAACAAGTGGAGACTGGAGAAGATTCAATGAGGTAGAGTTTAGAGACAAATAAAAGCGGGTTAGGAAGGGCGAATATGGCTTAATAAATGTAAAAAAGTGGCTTGAGGAGGAGGGAAATTGCTAGTCAGCCCTCTAACTGGTGAGAAATTATTCTATGTGGACACCATACGGTCCAAAGACCAACCAGAACAAGTCACGTCATCCAGTACCGAGCAAAATGTGATGTGACACGTTCTGATTGGTCTCCGGATGCCGTCTGGTATTCACACAGAATAATTTTTTCTAACGAGAAGTTATTCTGTGAGGACACTGGACAGTCCACACAGAAGAATTAACCGGTGCACCTTGTCCAATCAGGATGCCGGGATGACAATGTCGGTCACTCATACAACTGGCGACTAATCCTCTCATAAAATTAAAATTACAATGGGTTGCCCTAACTTATCCTAACAAATATTAGCTTGCTTTATAAAACTTCAACACTTCTATGATCCCATCAATCTTTAATCCTTAATTTATGACAATTACAAATCATCATTAAGTGATAGCTTTGAGTCAAATAACCACCATTTTTTTTCAAAGCAAACAGCCATATTTCAATATAACTATTCCTAACCTATGAAAAAGAAAATTTTGGCTATCATAAATAATTAATTAAATATTTGTAAGCTGCCTAATTATTTAGTTAATTACTATGCCAGCCACAGAAAAAGACAAACAGTGTGGAGAAAATTTGCATTTATAAATGGCCACTCACTTCACATATAAAATACAAGAAGTCAAACCTAATGGTTTTTTTCTTTTTAAATACCAACCCAAATAATTAGGATAATACTGATAATTAATTAATTAATAGTTATTTAGTAACCCAAGCTGTCTTCATAACTAAATAATTAGGATAATATTAATTATATAATAATGAAAAAATATTTAAATTGTAAGGAGTTTGGTGATAGTACCATATTTTAAATTTATGGAAATTTTTATGATTATACCTCAAATTTGAGCCTAAAATATGTAAGTGAGTCAAGTCTACTCATGAGTCAGCTCGAGCTCGGCTTTATAAAATTTGTTGAGCCCAACTCAATGAGCGAACTAGTCAAACTTGAGCCAACCTTGACTCAACTCGGTAACTCCTGTATATATATTAATGTTGAATACATTTAAAATATATTAGAATTCATGAGATTATTAAGTATGAATCTGTTGAAAATAATTAAATTTATATCTCAATTTCTTATATCAATGATTATTTATTATTTATCTTCTAATTTCTCATTCTTTTATTATTATTATTATAATAGTTAACTGAATCATAGTCATTTTTCTTTCTTTTATTATAAACGAGATGCCTTAGATGGTTTGGTCATGTAAAACGTCGTCCGTCCAATGACCATGTTATGAGAGTAGCTATATTAGATTTGGCCCATATTACGAAAGATAGAGGTAGACCTAAAAAGACTTGGTTAGAATATATTAAAAAGATATTTCTTTATTAGATTTAAATTAGAATTTAACTCTTAACATGACACAATGGAGAAAAAAAAAATAAGGCTTGATGTTATTGTTGTATTATAAACGAGTCAGTTTGTGACCTGACACTAACTCGTAGAATTAAGCTCGAACTCTATTTATTAATCAAGTTCAAACTCAAGCTACGAATGACTCGAGCTCGACTCGACTCGTTTATTCCATTAGTCTGAAATATTAATATTTTAACATATTATCAATCTAAGTATTTATGATTATAAGTAAAGGCTAATCTTTTAAATTTTACATAAAAAATAAATTTTTTATTTATTTTGTACGAGAATAGATTTGTTACTCATATCATACCTCAAGAAAAGTTATATAATACTATTAAATATTTATTTTAACTTTTAATATAAATAATTATTTTTATGTAACAGAAGCAAATAATTAAATAATGAGGTGCAAAACAAGAGGCCGTATGGGATATGGAGAGAATATAAATTGTTGCATCTTAAATAAATATTTCTTATATCGGTACAAATGAGTGTTTGCCTATCACAGTCTTTTTTATTTTATTAAAAAATTATTCTTTTTTTAATATTTATTTACTTTTTCAATTAAAATATTTTTTTTTCCTCCCAGATGTTACAGGGATATCATACATGACCTGATTTGGACCTAACCTGAAAAATCTAGTTCGGATTAACCTGTTTAATAAACTGGTCAGTTTTTGGACTGAAATTCTAACATGTTTATTAAACGGGTTATGTTTGAGTTAATATATGAATTTGATTTTGATTCGAAAATGACCCTTTTAATATTTGTTTTCCTTAAATTATTTTACTTATAGTTGTAGGTATATGATCTTATTTTTTTATCAATATAACTAAACTCTATAGCTGACAATTTATAAACTAAAAATTAAATCAAAACTAGTTAATGGGTTTGATTCGGGTTGTTCAGGTTGTCAGCATGTCAGATTCAATTCCATCTTTTTGACCATTTTATTAAACAAATTTGCTTGAGATTAATTGAATTCAGATCAAGATATTCCATAAAGGTACTTTTCTTAGAAGCTGATATTCAACAAATGTGGATGAAATATTTTGTTAAACTTTTTAATAAAGAATGTAAACATACTATTGACTTAGTGGCCTTTGCACCCTACATGAAAATAAATATTTCTATTTTATCAGCGTATTAGTAAAACCGAAGTTAGATATGCTTTAAAGAAAATAATGTGAAAAAGCTGTTGAACCTGATGATATTCCAATAGAGGTGTGGAAATGCTTAAGATCGAGATGAAGAAATTTCTTAACTTGCTAAATTTTTTAATATTATTTTGAAGACTAAAAAGATGTCACATCAGTGGAGAATGAGTGAGTTAATTCTTATTTTTAAGAAAAATGGTGATGCACATGATTGTGCAAATTATAGAGGAATTAAATTAATGTGTCACACGTTAAAATTATGGGAGAGAGTTATGGAGCGTAGATTGCGGCATGATACTAATGTTTCTCAAAATCAATTTGGATTCATGCCAGGTAGGTATACTATGGAAGCCATATATTTATAATTAAGAAGTTTGATGGAAAAATATAGAAAGAATAAGGATGATCTACATATGATATTTATTGATTTAGAAATAGCATTTGATAAAGTTCCAAAAGAAGTGCTATGGAGAATTCTTGAAAAGAAATGAGTTAATAATGTATATATTCAAATCATTAAAGATATGCATGTATGCATAAGCTAGTACTTGTGTTCAAACACAAGGTGAATTGATTAAGTATTTTCCTATTTCGATTGGATAACATCAAGGATCAGCCTTAGCCCATATCTTTTTTCTTTAGTCATGGATGTTCTCACTAGACATTTGCAAGATGATGTACCTTGGTGTATGCTTTTTGCTGATGATATTCTTCTTATTGATAAGACTAGAGAAAGAGTTGAAGGTAAACTTGAATTAATGATGTCAACCTTAGAGTTTAAAGGTTTTCGTTTGAGTAGATCTAAAACTGAATATATGAAGTGTAATTTTAGTAGTAATAAACCTAGTGAGGGGATTTTGACTTTAGACGATCATGTTATTAATAAAAGTACACGCTTTAGATATCTTGGATCTATTATTCAGAGTGATGGTAAAAAAGATGAGGATATTATCAACAGAATTCAAATTAGATGGTTGAAGTGGAGGAATGCATCGAGCTTGTTGTGTTATAGAAAATCCCCACCTCAAAGTTAATGGAAAATTCTATAAGATGATGGTGAGACCTGCAATGCTTTATGGTGCCAAATGTTGGCCAATAAAAGAGAAGCATAATAGTAAGTTAAGTGTTGCAAAGATGAGGATGCTCAGGTGGATGAGTGGCTTTACCCTTAGAGATAGGATACAAAATGAGCATATATGTGAAAAGGTTGGAGTAGTGCCAGTGGAAGATAAGATTAGAGAGAATCACCTTAGATGGATCGGTCACATAAAACGGCGGCCTTTTGATGACCCAGTTAGGAAAGTGGATGTATTAGATTTGATTTATGTTAAGAAAGGTAAAGGTAGACCTAAAAAAGACTTGGTTAAAAAATATTAGAAATGATCTATCTTTATCAGATTTAAACGAGAATTTGAGTTTTAATAGGACACAATGGAGAAAAAGGATTCATGTAGCCGATCCACGTACGTAGTAGGACAAAGGCTTGATGTTGTTGTTGTTGTTGTTGTATTAACTAAATTCAGATCAGATCAATTTAAAATCAGACCTAAACCCAACCTATTTTCAAAACCCCTCCAAAAGTTTATACAATATTAGAATGTTATGATATAGTAAAAGAGCACCCAAAAAAATTAAAATGTTTTTTAACATTCTGAAATTGTGAGATATTTCAAAATTTTCTAAATACACAACAATTTATTTCCAAAAGTTAAAAAAAAAACTGCCCAAACCTGCACGTTTCCTTTCATAAATAGAAACAAATATGCCATAGTGTTTCTACTCCAAAAAAAATAAATATATAACAGAAAAAAAAACAGAATCAAAGATCTGATATCATCTGATCCTAATCTTGACCTCACCAACTCTCTCCCTCCCCCTACGCTCTATAAATCATTCTACAAAGCTTCTTGTAATGCCCCCAAACAAGCCTTGTTATCTCCCTCATCTCCTCTCCCAACTCATTCCTCTTCTGCACTTCTGCACACCATGAACTTAGCTGACACCATCACCACCACCTCCTCCACCTCCTCTTCATCCCCTCCTCTCCTCTCTCTTTCTCCACCGATCATCCTCAGCCCTTGCGCCGCCTGCAAGATTCTCCGGCGCCGCTGCGTCGACAAATGCCTTCTTGCCCCTTACTTCCCCCCCACTGATCCCCTCAAATTCACCGTTGCCCATCGCGTCTTTGGTGCCAGCAACATCATCAAATTCCTCCAAGTAAGACTTCTTGAATCCTCCTTCTTCTTCTTCTTCTTCCTCTTCTTCTTCTTTTTCTTATGACTTCTATGATTATGCAGGAATTGCCTGAAAGCCACCGAGCTGATGCAGTGAGCAGCATGGTGTACGAGGCCAATGCAAGGATAAGAGACCCCATTTACGGCTGCGCCGGAGCAATCTGCAAGCTTCAGAAGCAAGTGACCGAGCTCCAGGCTCAGCTCGCTCGAACCAGAGCTGACCTTCTTCATGTCCAAACTCAGCACGCCAACTTCCTCGCCCTTCTCATGGCGTCCTCTTCAATGCAGTCACCTCCGATCAATATTCAATCACCATTGGATTCACCAAACTTCTTATATGATGGCGACAGCGACAACAATGGCGCCCTGGCTTATGGCTCCGTTTGGGAGGATTCCTTGTGGGCCTGATATTCATTTTATTTTTTTTATGATGAGAGGGATGATGAAGATGAAGAGCTGGATCAAAAATAAGCTTTTTAATAATTTGATTCGTAAGATTGACTGAACTTAATTTGTCTGATGGGATTCAAATGTTTCTCTCGAGCTAATTAATCACAATTAGCAGTTCAGTTTATCTGCTTTTCTGCCTCACTGGCAACCTTTCTTTCTTCTTTTCATGTAATCGTTCCAAGTAATTTTATTGGAGAATGAATTATTTTTGGCCCCAACATAACCATGAGTTAATGACTGTAATTAATCCTTAATTAATGACCAAGATGACTTTTAGATGGTCAAAGATGATGATTATAACTATAATGATGATTATAATTATAATGATTATGTTAATTGCCTATGTCATGCTGGTCTTTTCATACTAAGCATTGAAAATCTCCCATCTCTTATGAGCTAAAGAATCTTAATCCTCATCAAATTTCAAAGTTGAAGCACAATTTTTTGACATTAAAAATTTTAATTTGACCTTCTCTATCATGTTTTAGTTTTATTATTTTTTAAAATAATATATAAGACAAATTATAAATAAATAAATATAGAAGCTTCAGAAAAGAACAATAAAATCACTAAACATATAAATTTAGAAAAAAAAAAATTCTTAAGTAAATAAAGGCTTGCCTAAGATAGCAAGCAAATCTCTGACTTGGGAGCTAAGCTTGAAGCCACATAAGAATAGTTGTGCTTGACTAACATAGAAGGATCCAAAAGAACAGGTTTGATTAATGTGAAAAAAATTAGTTATATAAGTCAAGAGAGGAAGCCTTACTTCATAGTTTTGATTTTTGACAATGAAATGGAAAAAGGAGTATTAATGCAAGTTGTAAAGAGATAGTGATTCATAGAGGACTCAGAAATTGAGACAAAGTGTGGGACCCATGAGACAACTAGAAGATAATTTCTATAGCTATGTGCATAAGGTTCTACTTAAGAAAATGGTGTAGCACATGCCCCTAAAATCAACTATACTTAGCCAAATATATGACTCTTAGGAGACATATATTTGTTATAATGTGAATTTTTAAGGAAAAAGAAGAGAGAGAGAGTGTGTGAGAGAAAGATAGAGATAGAGATTAGAAAAGTAGGAGCCTTCTGAAAAATTAATGAGGTCGGCCTAAAGTAATGATTTCTCGTATAATTAGAGATATCATATTAATTTGAGTCATTGAAATAATTTCTTTGTAAATGCAGGTGTGAGAATGAATAAAGCAATATCTCTTCAGTTCAGGTAGGCATTAATGGGAGCTTCATGCATTTAATATGTCCCTTAAAAAATGTGCTTTTATGAATTATTTGTATTACAATAAATTTTTTGTCTATTTACAATTAGAGCTTATAAGTCATGTGATTATATAGTATTTACCAATATGATCCAAGTAAGAAGATAAATAAATGAATTAAAAAAGAAAAAAAAGATTTTTACATTCATTCATTGAAAATCATTCATTGAAAGTCATAAATCTTTATCTTCTATGAAAATAAATATTATTTTTCTTTCATATATAGTTTGTCATATAAGAATTTTTAAAAATATATTGATTTTGTGGAGGTAAGAATTGAAAAATAAAAACTAAAAATACATATACTCTAATTTTTAGGCTTAATTATGCAGTGGTATATATCATTGACCAAATGTATACTCCCATGAGTCAAATCTGGTGTCATCCATTTTTACATTAGCACCTAATTTGCTATTCGATCAATAAGTTAGAGTTGATTATATATATATATTCATGCCCTACATAAGATTATTGTAATAGTCGTTTCACATTCTTCAAGCTATTGAAATGACTCATCATTCATTAGAAAGCTAGCGTTGCATATTAGTAATGTGAAAATTGACTTTATATGCCTTATACTACGGACATGTGTGATTGGAGATATGTCGCTATTTTGTGAGAACTATATCTGAAAGTTCATTTCACATGAAGTTACCCCCGAAGAGATAAACTCTTGTATTATGGACTTCTTAAATGACTATTTCATTCGAATTAGGTAATTTGAACTTGTTTCAAAATCTTGAACTTGATTCAAACTTAAGCTCAAACTAAGATTTGCCGACAGTGGCATGTGGTGAATGGAAAGAAGAGTCAAGACAAGGATTACATGAAGAAAATGTGATTTTCAATTAAATTATCAGAGAAAACGAAGTTGACGAAAATTTCAGTGCCCTTTTCGTTACTTATTTTCGTCATGAATTTCAGTGAAAAGTTTATATATAACAATTCTTCTCTCATTATCTTCTTCATCCTATTTTGCACCTCTGAAGACCTGACATCCCAAACCTTGTTTCACCCTATGAGAGCATTGTTGTCCATTTAGAGCCATTTTCGATCAGATTTCTTTGGTTCTCCCATGAATATGAAGATACATCTCATTTTCTATCTTCTTTTTCAACTCTTGTATTCACTTATAGGAGATTTGGCTTAATTATTTTAGGAGAAACCCCAAGAATTACTAGCGCTCAATTCAATGATATAAGAAGAATATAATTTGCCTCTTGTTTGAATTTAAAAGTAACTAAAAAATTAGTTAATATTTGAAATGTCTTAATCATTTAACTTTTGCATATCATGTTCTTAAAATTGAAAGAATCCAAGATATAACACAAGTAAACCTAAGGGCCTTCACATGAAGTTAAAAGTCAAACATGATATTTTATCAATGATTTTGAATTTCATACTTGGGATTATGGGTTTGATAAAAGTAATATGAATACAAGAATGCATGTAAAAGGGAGTGAGCATGATGACACCACAATTAATTTTTATGAGATATTGCACAAAGCGGTTGAATTGGATTATATTTGATAGATATTGATTCTATTAAAATATAACTAAAATGATACTTAAGACATAGGAGTTAGCAATAATCAGTACAGACTAATCAAAGTTAAATAAAGATCCCAACTTTTGAATTATGAGCTATTTATATTAGCTTTATGGGCTCAACAAGTATGTTGTATAAGTTATCCATCCAAATTAATAGACAAAAATAAGTGATGGTTAGCTTTTTTGTAAAATAGAGGCACACGATAAATACCTGACACGATAGCTCTAGAATACAAAAGAATCTAAATTCTTGTACCAATGCTACTACCACGAAGTAGCAATATCCAAAATATAAGTTTTTCATCTTTTATTGAGCCAGATGGAACAAGAGCATTAGTTTCCTAATGAATCAGTAAGAATGTTGATGATAATATTAATTAGAAATTTCTATTATTCAAATATCACAAATACAAGTATGTTTTAGGACTAACATTTAAATCCCAAAGAAAAGGAGATGTGTTAGAAGAAGCAAAGGAACACACTGGTAGGTGCTAGCTATGCAAATATAATTTATTTAAATTTTATTATTAAGGATCATCTATATATTCAATTTTGATGTTTTATATCATAGACAAAACTCATTAAATAAAATTTACTTCATTAATTTTTTGATATATTACATTTATACTTGTTTTTCAATATATTTGTCTTATACATCAATGATAATAACTGAACTATTTACTATGTTTTATATAATGAAATAAACCTTATAATCTTATAATCTATATTTTGTTAGTATACGAGTTAAATAATATAAAAAAATAAAAGTAAAGAGGGTTGCTATGAAAATTGAGTTATTTCATAGGACATACATGAAGAAGGTGAGTATATTAATCTTGTACAATTCATGTAAGAATTTTATATTTAATTAAAGCATTTTATTTAATGATTCATTAAAATTGAATAATGAAAAATTTTAATATAGTGTCTTGTTAAAATAGGAAATATATGAGAGGGACATAATATTGAAATGTGAAGAGTAAGGTGCAAAATAATGAGTTTGATTGATAAGCATGGTTAGAGGCAACCAGGGGACTAATTGAAGGTCAAGTATATACTACAGAAAAATCACTAATTTCTGAAGGAATCTTCCGGCGGCTTTCCGGCGGCCACTTTTCCGGCGGAGCGGCAGCGCGCGGGAGAGGGAGGCGTCGCCGGCAGAGCGGTAGTGCGCAGGAGCGGGAGGCGTCGCTGGTAGAGCGGCAGCGCGCGGGAGGCGTCGCCAGCAGAGGATTTTTTTTAATTTGACCGGCGGTTTAAGACCGCCGTCAAGCCACCGGAATAATTTGCCGCCGGAAAAAACTGCCGGAATTTATTTTTTTACGCCATTTTTTCCAGCGGAGTTTTAACCGCCGGAAAATTACAAAACCGCCGGAAAAGGCTCCATTACCGCCGGAAATACCGGCGGTTTAAGACCGCTGTCAAGCCACCGGAATAATTTGCCGCCGGAAAAAACTGCCGGAATTTATTTTTTTACGCCATTTTTTCCAGCGGAGTTTTAACCGCCGGAAATAGACAATTTTCCTGTAGGTACTTGGGTGGTTGTGGTAATGGCAATGCATTTGGATGATTCCCCTCGATATCATAATGATATACATTTACAGCACAACAAATTAGAAGAGAGGAAGTTGATGAGATCGTGTGTTTCGTGCTTGAAGAATTATGACATAGGGCATCAAGTGGTGGAGCCAGTGGAGTGGATGAACAATTAGATAAAGAAGATGAAGCTCAAGATAACAATGATGTTGATTTTTTTTTTTTTAATAAGGGAATTGAACTTACCTAAATTCATTCAATAAAAAAGAGAATACAACAAAAACCCAAAGAATAACAAACAAAATTAAAAAGCTATAATAAGCAATTAAAGAAAGCAACCTCAAAAAGACAAGGTGCAAAATTATAAAGGCTGCAAAGAGTAAATAAGAAATAGAAAAAAGGGCAAAGATGCCAGCCATACTCAGGAAGTGGGATTGCTTATGAAGAGAATGATGATGATGAATAGGTTTTGAATTTGCTTATTGTATTCTGATTTTGTATAACTATGATCAAACTGCAAATATGAAGTGCAATGCTTAATTGTAAGTTTTAATTAGTTTATTTATGGGTGACATTATATTTTAGTTTATTTGAAGGTGTTTTTGCATATGTTTTTTTTTAGTTGCATGAATGTTAATTTTTGCTAGTTTGGTATATTGAGTGTTGTCTTATGTTAGAATTGCTAGTGTTTTGTGCAAATATGGGTAGAATTACAATTATAAATTTGGGATGTATTTTTTTATAATTACAATTACAACTTTTG